CAGGCTTCTTCCATCTGTGACATCACCATCTTCCACCACAGGCCTAAAGGTTGGATAGGATGGAGAAGGGACTGGGAAAGAGCCAGTCCTGGGGCCCTACACAGATGCTGGGGGTGGGGGGCATGAGATGTAGTTTAATTGTGTTTGTAGGAAGAGGAAATGGGTTTAATGAGAACCTAGCCAGTCTCCACTGCAACCTTTTTTCTCTGTAATCCTTCCATCAAATTGATACCTGACTTAAGGAGGAGAAACAGAGACATAAAGAGAATCTGCCAGGCATGAGGGGTCGGCAGGGGACTAGCAGTGTCAGAGCTGAGGGTTCTGATCCGGATCCTGCCCCAAGCCATGTCCTCATGAGCGTGCCCAGAATGCTGGCAGATTTGTTTAGCATCTCCCTTTCCTCAGTTTCCTTATCTGTCCTACAGGAAACCCTAACTTGGTCCTCAAGACAGGTGATGTGGAAGAGTAACCTGTTCCTGCCCTCCCCACTAGGGACGAGGGACAAGAGCAGCCTAGGAGACAATCAGCCAGCCCCACCTCTGTCCCTCTGGTGTCCCCTGTGTGATTGAAGAGGAAGCTAAAAAGCAGAATGTTATTACAGCTTTTCCATAATGCAATGTCATCAGGAAGCCCTGGGCCTCTGGGCAGCACCCTGGCAGCCCCATCACTCTTGCCAGCTGCATGGAGCCTTTTGGACCACGCTGGAAAGGGCAGGAAGCAGTCTAATAAAACAAACGGCAAGGCAGGCCCACTCATCAGCAGCTCTTCAAAATGATCTAAACTTCTGACTTTTGATTTAAATCTGCATCCTCTGGGGCCAAAAACATAAAACAGAAGAAAAGGCAAAGAACAAAAATGAAAGCGTGGGTGCCAAGAATTAGAAAGGAGGGAGGGAGGAGCGAGGAAGAAAAGCAGCTCGGGGATGATACCAAGTTGGGCACCAGCCAGGTAGACTGACTTGCACCCAGGTTGGGTCCTTTCCACTATGCATTGCTCAGAACATCTCCCCTCTGTCACTAAGCTGCCCCGAAATGGGACAGGAAGTTTGAGAGCTAAACAAAGAAGGAAATCCAGACATCTACCTGCCCCTGATTTGCCCTTCAGCTTTCTTCCTCAGACTCTAAAGAGAGGGTGGGGACTGGTGGGTGGGGAGACCTGGGTTTATTCTAACATCTTCTCTTCTCTTCAGATTCATTTGGTGAGAGACTACCGTTCGCCAGGGCTGGCTGTCAAACAGTGACCAGTGCTCTGAGGCAAAAGGGGATCACAAGTGATGGGGGCTACAAGTGATGGGGACCAGGGAAGGCCTCTCTGAGGTGACATCGACTAGAGAGCAGAGTGAAGGTGACAAGCTATCTCAACAGAGCTGGGGGGTCTGGATATAGAGGCTGCAATTTAGGACTCCCGCCTATCCCAGCATACCTCAAACACCCACGTGTCTTGAAAACAAGCTCACCTCCAGGAAAAGGCAGCAAACTGCCACCATGTGACCCTTCCAGTTCACCTTCATATGGGGGCATTCGATGGCTAAGTCCTCCCGTGCGAGGCCAGACCCATTCTTTACAGTAACATATCTGGGCCTTGCAGCCAATCATTTCCTCTGGTTGAATAAGTTTAAAGAAGAAAAATCAGGCAATTGTGCCCCACAATACAGTTAAGTATTTAATTCGTTTTTAATGTTTACATTATTAACACCAGCATTGCAAAAAGATATTTTTACTTTCAAGCGATTTCAATGTGCAATTCGGTGTCTCAATTACTGGGATCATTATAACTTGAGAAACTGAAGCAGTGCTTGCTCCCTCCTCTCTCCTCCCCCTGAGGTACCTTGTTTCTATAAAGAGCTCGCAGGGTTCCACAAAGCCCAAATATCCATTCTAAATGGATTGGGAGGTGCAGCCCTGCTGGGCTTTCCAAGGAGCCAGGGGAGGCTGCA